TTTCAATTAGATCCTCATCTTTGGCTTTTACTTTACTTTACTTCGGCTATCTCCTACGGGAGGATGAGCTGGCTTCATGAACGTCTCGAATCATCGCTGCCCAGGCGCGGCGATCTGATGCAAGGTTTTGCCACGACAGGGATATCCAATTCTTGTTCCACATACGGAGTCCGTAGACGGTTTGTAGCCCCAGGCACTCCATATCAGCCTTGACTGTACCAAGCCATGTCTTCAGCTGTCCACCCCTGCGACATCGCCAAGATGGTAATGGCGAGGGATTTAGAACTGATTTGACCAGATCGTCATCTGGTCGGCGCAGAACATGGCCAAACCACCGAAGGTGGCGTTGTTGGACCAGTACTGGAATTTGGTTGATGTTGTAGCAACGACGACGCACTTCTTCGTTGGAGAGTTTGTCCTGCCAACGAACATGCAGAATGTACCTGAGGCACCAATGGTCTACTACCTCGAGTCTGCGTAAATCTTCCGCGCGAAGAGGCCAGGTTTCACAGCCATACAGGAGAACGGGTCGTATGGAAGCTTGGTAGACCCGAATTTTAGTCCTGAGACTGATTTCTCTCTTGCTCCATAGAACGCTCCTCAGCTGTAGAAACGCGTTCCGGGCGTTGGAGATTCGCTCATTCACTTCGTTTTTCGCTTGACCGTTGGGGAGCATTATGGATCCCAGATGGCACAATTTCAATAGGTGCTCCATTCAGGGATAAGATTTCATCACTGCTGGTGGATGTGTTCGAAAACATTTTGGTTTTGGAAGTGTTAATTTTCAAACCGATAGTAGGCGCGAGGTGGTTTATCTGGTCGAGCGCCTGTTGCATATCGGGGAAGTTTTCAGCTAATAGCACGACGTCGTCGGCGAATTCGAGGTCGGTTATGTGAATATCGGGCGAAAGTTGGACGCCGTGGTGCTCGGTTAGGGCGTGCCGCAAAATCCAATCGATTGTGAAATTGAACAAGATGGGGGATGCCGGACACCGCTGGTTACCTCAAAACTGCGAGACTCTTCACCGTTCACTCGGACTCGAGCTTTGGTGTTGGAGTAGTATGACCTGAGCAGGTTGATTAGCTTGGTCGGAACTCCGTCGAGCTCCATTAGATACCAGAGTGCTCCTCGATCAACTGAGTCGAATACCGCTCGGAAGTCGATGAAGCAAGCAACCGTCGGCTGTTGGAATTTGTCCCTGTGTTCCAAAATTCTTCGCAGTGTGAATAATTGATCAACACAGCCTCTTCCAGGTCGAAATCCGGCTTGATTTGGCCTTGTTCGCACGTGGCGTTCGGCCGCGAAGCGGTTCAGGAGAATGGAAACAAAAACCTTAGCAGCGATATCAATCAGACTTATGCCTCGGTAGTTCTCGCATAGTGACCTGTCTCCCTTTTTGTGGAACGGTAGCAGAACTGAGGTGCTCCAATCGGAAGGAATGGTTTCGGACTCCCAAATTGAGCAGAACAGCGAGTGCAGTGAATCTTTGGCTCTACTCTAATATATATAACATTTTAATTACAATACAACAGTTCGCCAATCAAGTGGCGATAAGTTTGTTAACAATAATTAAACAGTGTCAATGGGTTAATAATTAACGAAGAAAATCAATACACACAATTAAAAGGTAGAAATGGTTAGAATAAATTAATTTTACAAGGTTAACACGTAATTAAAGATGAAGTGGACAAAATAAATAAAAAATAAAATAATTTAGATAATTATAATTTTTATAGGTTTAGGGGGAGGGGGGCGACGCAGTCCTGTTTATCCATTCTTGTGATGATGGCCACGGTAGGGAAAGTGGCTGTACAATTTTTTTCTGTACACATAGGCTTGGCTTCAGATGAATGCCAATCACCTCAGCCGTCTGTAGAAGACGAACTCTCAGAGCAAAATTAAGATTAGTCGGAATGCGATAAATAATTTTTAAATTCAGTATTCACATCAACCTTATGCTAACAATCTACAAGGTGTGCTAAATTAGAGCTACGAATAGATCTTCTTTGTCCCCTGCTTAACCACGTTGGATGATGTTCGGAAATACGACGATGAACTTGCCTAATTGTACGCCCCCCGATGAAGCTGGCTCCGCAGCTGCAGTCAAACTGGTAAATACACGTAGAGGAGGCAAATTTAACTAGTTTATCCTTATTTCTCGAACATAAAATAGGTGTGGTTGTAAAGAGACAACGTACCTCTGCTGCATAATAAGTTCTTTTAACTGCATTCTTCAGGTGCTCGCTGTGTTACTATTTCGCTGATGTCGTCACCGAGGAACTGCAATTTTATGAACATTGGTTTTTCGAAACTGTAGCCGTACTGACTCTCTTTGGTGTTGAATTTATATTTTTCTCGATGAATTTATCTGGATAGCCATTTTTTCTAAGTAATTCTCTAATAATCTTAAGCTCCTCATTGAAGCAGTCATCCGGACAGATTAACCTAGCTCTATGAACCAGACACTTCACGAGGTTACGTTTATATTTCAAAGGTACAAAACTCAAAAAATGAGTGTACTGACCTGTTGTTGTAGGCTTTCTATACACACTCCTTCTTAGTGTGCCATCTTCTCTCCTTACCATGAAGACGTCTAGGAATGAGATACTGTCGTTACTTTCTTTCTCTATGGTAAAGTTTATTGCTGAATGGGCATCATTAAACTTGTCAAGGATGTTCACTGCATCATTGTCGTCTTTCATAACCAGAAATGTATCTATCATCCATATATCGACAGTAGAAATCCATGTCATTAATTACTCCTTTCAGCTTATTTATGTTGATGCGATTCAGCTGTAATCTATCAATATTATTGATTTGATGTTATTTAAACATTAATGTCGTTCATAACACTAATTCATTCATTTACTATAATGTATGTATAAATGTAGAGCCTGATGATGAATTGATCGAAAAGGGTACTCTTTGTTCAGTATCCATTCTTTTGAAAATTTTAATGGGCGTTTGTAATCATCTATATAGTTCCATTATTTTTCACTTCATTTGATGATTGGTAGTGTTAGTATTTTGCATATTTCAGATATAAGTGATGAATCATTCCTATTACATGTGTTCTGTTGGGTGTAGACTCGATGAACTAGCCAGAATTCAGTAATCAACCTCTCTCTCCACCTACCTAGATTACTTTTTAGAATTTTAACCCTCTTCCACCATGCTATTGTGTGGTTGTGTGTTAATGCATGCACGCAGTGCAATGTAGTGGTGAGCTTTTTTCCCAATTACTTATCTTCTCTGGTGGGGTCAACCATTCTTACCTTAGCTAAATTCTTATCTTCCGACCATCTCACTACCCCCGATCTACTAGTTTGACCTAACTCACAGTCATTGTAGGGTAGTTTGTAAATTATATTATTTTGTTTAATTGGGTCCACCAACGGGCTCCTTTAACCTACAGAGCTTCCCCTATCTGAGTGAGTTTGTAGGTTTAAATGCCACCACCCTAATTCCTGCTTTATTATTAATAATCCTACGTGGGGTGGGTCTCAGATGTCCCCTCCTTATATGGTATAACAGTAGATGCATTATATTCTCTTTCATGTTAGTTATCATTATTAGTTTCCCCTTTATTTCTATGTTGATTTTGATCTTTACTGGGTTTTGTTCATACCTTAATGGTCATATTTTGCCTCAGTGGTTGCAGAAATCTTTTGTCAAATTACTCTTCTGAGTTTTCTGATTATATTCATATTGTCTGCAGCCATTTGGCTTTGAGCTCGTGAACATTGTTAATTTCTTGGCAGTTGTTGCCTTGGGTATCTTGAGTATTTGTCATAAAGTAGTGGGAACATCTCTCGAACAGCTGGAGTGCGAATATGCACATATGTACTTGAATAGTTCATGTAAAATGCATTTCTAATGGTTGAGAGTTCTTGACCATGTACACTTATTTATATCTGAGTGGAACTCGGACATTACTACAGAATGTCTCTTCATATCTGTTTGTTTACTTAGATCACTCGAGGAAACATATATATGTATATCTTTACATGAAATCATGTGAAATTTTGCACTAATCCTTTTGGGAAAAGACTGTGTTTTCTTCATAACGAAGCTGGCGGTGATGATAGCATCTGTTGATGTAGGTCCCAAGAAATAATCAGTCTGGGGCAATTAAACTAATGATCCATGGTGTTATGTTAAACACAACACTACACTCTTTTTTTCTAGCCATCGTAAAACTTCAGTCAGATTAATGTTCCGGAAATGATAACCATCAAGAAGTGTTCATCTGTGAGTTACTATGAGACTAAAGTTGGAGTCGCAGAGCTTATCATGTAAAAATGAAAATAAATTTCACTTAAAGTACACTTAAAACGAAGTAATCCTGTCTGACTTTAGTGTAATTCCCAAGTGTACCTTAGAACTCAATCTCAAGTGACTGTATCATCTTTTTTACATCTTTAGAGTTCTTAAACTGTAGTACATACGTTAAATGTTGCATCTATCTCCATAACCTAACGGCAACTGTAAACACTATGTTCATGTGGTTTGTTGTTTTAAAGCAAATGCTTCTGTTTTAAAGTTACTTCTGCATGTGATCTCCCTGCATGATTCTGCCCAACTCGTGGTGGAGATTCCAATCCTGTGCTGATCAACAAGCGTGTGCCACCACTGTGCGTCGGTGGCACAGTGGTTAGGACTCTCGCCGACCATGCACATGGTCCGAGGTTCGATCCCCTACCGACGCACACCTGATATCTATGGTCAGCCTGCGAAATTTGGGCTACCGATATCCACGCTGAAAATCTCATACTTGTACCAAAAATACAGTGTGCAATCAAGCTGTAATCAAAAATACGAAAAAATACTGATCTTCCTAATAAATTTTATAGGATAGTTAGTTATTTAACACCAACGCCTCTTGTTACTGGATTAATACCAATATGTTATTATTGTTATACACTTTTAATTTATTTATCAATTGAAAGAAATGTACAGGAGACTGGCAATAGTAATGACCTGATTGATACTATTCAAAATGTTATTGAAGAAGTATTCACATCTACTGTCGACGTCTGGGAAATGGTTAAATGTTTTATTCGGCTGTCAGATTGGTAAGCCCACGTCTTGTCAACACTATTACTACTGTCTGCGGCATATACACCACCACCACCACCAACAACAACAACGTGTGGGCAGCAGTAATCAGCCATCAAAGCCTCGTCAAGGTGTTGATTCTTGTATTGAAGCAATTCGAAATGTTGGTCTGATTGCTCACATTGATGCTGGTAAAACAACGACTACAGAACGCATGCTGTACTATGCCCGTAAGTTGTTCTTTTGAAAATGTATTCTATTTATTTATTTTAATTTTTTGACATTGCATTGTTATAACCGAAATCATATGAATGATTATTATTATTTCCTTGAGTTCTGAGTGGGAGATTTCAGTAGGGGTTTCAGCAGCACGTTTCCTGCTCAGATTAGGCGCAGTTTTGGAAATCTCAGGGACAGATAGTTAGTGGATCGATATCTACACACCACCGTGTGCTTTTCGAAGTGTGTGGGCGGTTGTTACTTCCCGGTTGCCCACACCACTGTGGAAGTTGCTTGATTCTTCGGGTACCTGAAACAGAGAGAGAGAGATGGCTAGTGTTGCGTGACGACAGAGTCCAGGAGACAACTTCTTGAGCCAGGCCGGTCACACACGGCTTGTATGAACTGGTTCCTCGGTTTGGTTCCGTATTAGTGAAGTTACCGCCGGTTACGGACCACTGTAGGGTGGTAAGTCGGGATGTACAAATTTTGAGGTGGACTTTTTCTAACCCCATCTCTCCAGCAGAGTGGAGAGACAGCATAGCTGGCTGGCATTCTGGTCATCTGAGGGAAACACCCTACTTCTGTTACATCCCTGTCCCCCAGAAGTACTACTTCGCCCACAGACCCCCAGTAAAGTGTAGGAATGATTCTTACAGAATTCCGGTAACTGCTTTTAGTGTAATCGCTATTCTAACAACCTTCGTGGCATGGTAAGACCTGCAGAAACATTGGTTCCAGCCAGTGTAGCTTGTTGGGTCATCGGAATTGTAAGCCCGATCACCACGTCAAGGCAGCAGCTGTCGGTCGGGTAACATGATTACGTTGAAGCACGTGCAAATAGCACACAGCCTTCTTTAAACCTTGTACACAAACATTAGGTCGCGTACTATCCCATCGCCCTTAGCAAATCTAGCAATGGGAGTCACGAGAACACCATCAGAACATATGGCAGGTTAGGTATCCCGTTAGCTGACATAGGATCAGGCTGGAAAAGAGCTAGCCGGTGGTGATCAAACCAAATCACGGCTTCATCAGTCAATGAAATCCACAACAGTTAGTTTAAGCCACGTAGGAAGGTGTAGACTTCCTGACTGGTTGGGGTCTTCGGGACGGTAAAAACCAATGAAAGCTGGAGACAATTGGTGATATAGCTCAAAATGATCGTTCTCAATGACTGGCTTGTGCAGATGCAACCATTCCTTGTGACTTATAATTTCCAATGAAACTATATTGTTATTCGTTCGTTATTACTATTCCTTTGTCTCACAGCCCTGTTTACTGTCTGTATTATGCATTTCTTCTACTTTCTTCTCTTGCTTTGTGTGCTACAAGGAAAGAGTGTGGCGACTTGAACTGGTGCACATCGGTGCAAAGTTCTACGTAGAAAACAGACAGACAGACAGATATACTTCAGGACAATGTGAAGAAAGTATATACGCAGCCTACTGAACATATATTCGAGAAGAGAAGTAGATTTAAGCTCAGACTACTATATTTAGTACTAGGAACCTTCAAGATCCAGTTGAGAGCCTTCAGAAAAATCTGAAGATGGAATACAGTTCAAGTTAAACATTCACTAATTGAAGAAGGTAGCTACAATGGATGCCTTCACAGCAGTCATCAGGATAAAGTTGATGACATTTAGAGACGTCATGGGAGGAAGTCTGTGTGAAATGACACTGTGACTCTTTAAAACATGCGCTTGAAAAGAAACCCGTGAGTACATCTTAGCCAGATGAGGAAGACAAGAAAACGAATAGCTCTCTACAAACACCCAGAATACTTCAAAGAAGCTGGGACAGATCGTAAGGTTGCAAGTTTAACATCACATTCAGAATCTGAATGACAAAAGGAGATTTTTTGAAGGACATAAAGTTGGTGAAGTCGAGGAAACTATCAGGATCTAATGAAATCCCTTCCTGAAACACTAAAAACGGACCTGGAGGCATCAACAGATAACATACTCACGTAACTGCTGCAGAAGTTGTTTGAGGAAAAATGGTACCTGATGATCTCCTGAAAGACTGTCTGTCTGACTCTCTGTATTCGATATAGAACTTTGCACCGATGTGCACCAGTTCAAGTCGCCACACTCTTTCCTTGTAGCACACAAAGCAAGAGAAGAAAGTAGAAGAAATGCATAATACAGACAGTAAACAGGGCTGTGAGACAAAGGAATAGTAATAACGAACGAATAACAATATAGTTTCATTGGAAATTATAAGTCACAAGGAATGGTTGCATCTGCACAAGCCAGTCATTGAGAACGATCATTTTGAGCTATATCACCAATTGTCTCCAGCTTTCATTGGTTTTTACCGTCCCGAAGACCCCAACCAGTCAGGAAGTCTACACCTTCCTACGTGGCTTAAACTAACTGTTGTGGATTTCATTGACTGATGAAGCCGTGATTTGGTTTGATCACCACCGGCTAGCTCTTTTCCAGCCTGATCCTATGTCAGCCAGCTAACACTGCCCATTGTCGAGGAAGGCGATGTCTAGGCATGCATGCGTAACACGTGTCCTAACCATCTCAGTCGATTGTAACTGCTTCACAGCCTCGTCAATTGATTTCCCCTACCTAGCACTCTACCGACGCCTATTCTCTATATTGCTCAGACTACCTAGTCAAATTACCAAATAAAGGCAACTTAGACCTTGAGCGGTATCATGTTCCTCACCACACCAGGAAGAGAGGGATTAAGACCATGGAAGTTGGAAGGGTTGAACGAACTTTTTCTGTACACAGAGATCTGGCTTTTCTGTTTTGATAGCCAAACCTTCAGCAATACAGATGAGTCGGGTACGTAGGGATTTGGGTAAATTACTCTTTGCCGTGTAGATGACTTTAAGAGCGGAGCCTATAGAGATAGGGTGATCATTATCGACCAGATGTTCAATGATAGTGCTTTTTATTGCTATACTTCCACCTCTTCGTAACCACGCAGGATAGTGTTCTTGCACCCTCTTGGACAAAACTCGAATCGAACGACCGATTTCACTTGTTCCACTTGTCATTCTAAATCAATTTTTCTGTTTTACAACGTTAAATTCTATGCTATCAGACTTCGCGTGCGTTTCGGATTGTGAGGGCGATTGTTACTTCCCGGCTGCCCACACCGTGAAAGTTGGTTGCGTGACCGCAGAGCCCAGGGGACAACTGCTTGAGGCCGGTCACACGCAGCCTGTTTTTGTTTGTTCTTTATTGTTTTGTGTGCCTCAGTAGCATATTTATCACTCCTGCCCTGTGACACGGCAGCAGGAAGCGCGGTCGTTGTTAATCCGGGCCACGGCCGATCCGGCATTAACTGAGGTACTAGGCAGCGTCTGGGAATCAGAAGAAGTCCCATCGGATTGGTGTAAGTCACTGATTATCCCGATATACAAGAATGGAAACAAGTCTTCCTGTGATAATCACAGAGGGATTAGCTTGACTAATATAGTATCTAAAGTCTTAGGCTCAATAATCATGCGTAGATTGAGTGGTGCTCGGGAGACACAAACACGAGAGAGCCAGGCAGGCTTTAGACCAGGAAGAGGGTGTATTGATCATATCTTCACCCTCCGACAGATTCTAGAACATAGGAATTCCTACCGGCGTCCAAAAGTCATTGTATTTCTTGACCTAAAGGCGATGAAATCTCAGCACGGATCCGAAAAGCTCGAGCTGCTTTCGCTGACTTACACCATCTCTGGCGTAGGCGTGACATCCGGCTATCAACCAAGGGACGTGTGTACTGCTCATCAGTTCGCTCCGTCCTTGTCTATGGCTCTGAAACATGGCCAATACGAGTTGAAGACATGAAAAGGTTGACTGCTTTCGATCATAGATGTCTGCGATCTCTGTCTCACGTTAGGTGGTTTAATAAGGTAAGTAATGTTGACGTTAGGCGTAAAGTGTTGGGCAAAGAGGGAAAATCAATCGACGAGGCTATAAAGTTACATAGACTAAGATGGCTAGGTCACGTGCTGCGCATGCCTAACCACCGCCTCCCCCGACGGGCATTGCTAGCTGATATCGGTGAAGGTTGGAAAAGAGCCAGTGGTGGCCAAACAAAAACATGGCATCAATCCATGAAATCCTTGACAAATAAACTGAGTCAGCAGGTAGGGAGATGCAGACTTCCGGGTTGGGGCCCTCGGGACTGACTCTAGGAATCAATGGCTGGCGACAACAGGTGACATGGCTCAAAATCGTTGTCAATGGCCAGCGCAGATGTATTCAGTCTCTGTAATCTTTCATATTCCTTTCTACCATTACCCATTCTGTTTCACTAGTGTACTTGTCAAACTCTATTGATTCTGTTCACTCATCTTCTTGTCTACCTTTGTGTGCTATTTGGAACATGGCAACTCGAACTGCTGCACTTCGATGCCAAGTTCTATGTTTGTTTTTTTTGATTTACAGCTTGATTGCACACTGTATTTTTGGTACAGTATGAGATTTTCAGCGTGGATATCGGTAGCCCAAATTTCGCAGGCTGACCATAGATATCAGGTGTGCGTCGGTAGGGGATCGAACCTCGGACCATGTGCATGGTCGGCGAGAGTCCTAACCACTGTGCCACCGACGCACAGACCTAAAGGCAGCTTTTGACTCTGTCAATCGAGAAGTTCTCTGGAGATGCTTGGCTGTAAAGGGAATGCCAAGAAAATATATTGCATTGATTAAGGCACTCTACTCGTACTCATACAGCCAGGTGAGGGCTTACGGCGAGCTGTCATCTGAAGTGGTGACGACTAGTGGTGTCCGTCAAGGATGCCCATTATCCCCTTTTCTATTCAACTTCATCATAGATGTGTTAATCGACTTAACCCCAAGTGACTTCAGAGACTCAGGGATTGACTTGCTACCAGGGAATAATCTCGTTGACTTGGAATATGCAGATGATATAGTCCTTCTAGACGAAGACGCTGACAAAATGCAGAGTCTTCTAAACACCTTGAGCCGCAATCTACGAATGTTTGGCATGCGAGCGATTCGCTCCCGCCAAATGCAAGATGATGT